TCTTATTAAATGATGTAAAATGTAAAATGACAGTAGTTCACCGGTGCATAGATTTATTTATACACAATTTTACTTTTTTAAATGATTAAACTCTTTTAAAATAGTTTTATTCCCACCGACAGAATAATAAAGTCTGCAGACGTCAGCGTGGACATCGAGACGGCTGACGACGTTTATTGCAACTTTAAGATGGAAAAAATAAAATCATTGTGGGAAGTATTCATCTGTTAAGCAGTTTCTAATAACTAATAACTTTCAATAAATGTATTTACGCCAACAATTGTAAAAAAAATAATCTAATTGCTGAAAGTTATTGAATGCATGTCAGTAGTTAAAGATACTCGAGAGCTGAATGAACTTCCATGCATTTCACCAAAGATGACATGTTTTCAACACACCAGTACAGACTCAAGGTCTGGACCCGACGGTGACGTCTGTGCTCACGTTTGTTATACCAGGTGAAGAGAAAATAAAGTGTGAAACTTGTGTGGAGTGAAAGCTCAGAGTTTGCTGAGGATCTTCTGTTACATACAAAGTTGTGAAAATGACAATATGAGCACAGCACCTGAGCCCTGCTCGGTAAGAATCATCTACTGAGTGAATAATGTGCCTGAAAGTGTGGAACTGAAAACTGATACGGTTAAAACAGCATTAAGTGTCTTTTAATCTCTCCATTTCCTGCACTGCAGCAATACAGTTCACCCTCAGCCCTCAGGGTGCACCGCTCAGGGCTGAGGGGATGCTGTGCTTCGGTTCACATCCTCCTCCTTCGCCTTCGGGAGGCTCTCTGGAGCAGTTTCTGGAGCTCCAGATGAGATTTCCTCGGGTGGTGATGGCGGTGGAAATACCTTCTCCGACACCTCCTGGCTGGAGGGAGGCTGTTCCTCCATCATCGACTGGCTGTCCCCTCCCTTAGCCTTCTCCTCTTCGGCTGAAGCACTTTGTGCATCAGATTCAGCCTTCATTGGGACTTTGGTTTGACCCTGTTCCTTGTTGGCTTCTTCTTCTTCCTTCAAGAGACAACCGTTTGACAAGCCTGACGGGTTCACCAAAGCTTTCGGACTTGCAGATCCATTCTTGTCAACAGAAGCTTTTCCATCAGAGTTCTCCTCCCCATCTCCATCATTCTGCTCCTCCTCTGCGATGTCGTTTACACCAGACACCTCCTTATACGTCTCATTGGGCAGGACAGGGGAGCCTTCAACCTGGATCATGGACACCACCTGCTTCATCCTCCTCCTCCTCTTCTGGGACTCCCCACCTTCCCCCTCCGTGTCCTCGCCTGCTCCGGCCCAGTCTATAGAGGGGTTGTCTCCAAGCAAGTGCAGGCTGGGGTCACTGCTGCTGAGGACGATGCTGTCCCTGTACAGGTTGTGTCTCCTCTGGACCGCCGCCTCCTTCACAGCTACAGGACAGAGAGAAGAGCTCAAAATGTGCTTCAACGTGAGAAGCGGTGAGAAAAAAACAACATGTGCCTCAATGAATTCAAAGTATATACAAAAATGATCCAAACTATGACCAATCCCTAACTGCGTCTGTGATCAGCTGGTCTTCAGGGGTCTGTAATGTCCTGGAAAGGACTTCGTCATCTGGTCTTCACGGTGTAGAATGTGTACACTTCTATTCTACTTCTTTATTTCAAATCATTAATGAATAACCTACAGAGTCAAGTGAACATGCACAATTCTAGAAGTTTGTTTCATGTGATATTATAAATGACAGCAAGCACACAATTAAAATATAGATCTGATCTAAAGAGATAAATACATTTCTGTCGGAGTTTAAATGTTTCTCTGATGCTTATAACCTCTATAATACTGCAGCTATGGGAAGTCAAATGAACACATTGGTACTTAATGTGTGCAGTGTTTTGTAGAGATGTATTTAAACTAGAATCAGCCCCAGATGACAATAGAACAACAAAAGATTAAGAAATGACAGGATCATTGCAGCACTGACCAAGTACATTACTGAGAACTAAAAATGCTTTGTTGTTTGATTCCTTAAACAACCTCTCAGGGAAATGATGACGATGTGCAGATGGAGCAGGGCGGTGGCTTTGAACCAGCTTCCAGTTCTTACCAGAAGGATTGCTCATCCAAAGAGCTCCACTGCAGCATCCTGATCCACGGTACAACAACACACAGGAGGAATAACACGGTAGAAGACTGACCCAGCATGATGTCCTTCATGATCGAATGCAGCACCACGTCTTCAAAGATGTTCTCCACCACAATGAACCGGGAGAAGTCCTCAAAGATCAGTTCCTGGAAGCGCGGCAGCTCCTTTACAGCAACAGTCAAACATCCAACATCACAATTCAACAGAGTTTTTGTATTTTTTCCCAGAACTCTTTATAAACATCCTCATTTCACAATAGTTTTTATTAGTGCTGGGCAACGATTAAAATATTTAAATTGCATGTATTTTTTGCGATTAATCGCATTGTTATGGCAAAGTTCAATAATGAATTCAAAAGTAGTGTATTGCGCACTTTTATTTTAAAAGTACTGCTATATGAACAAAAGGGCAATAACATTTGGTTCACGAGATGCAGGTAGCATGTTTTATACTTAATGTGAATATAATTCATACTTTGTTGGCATCTTATTCTGAAAACCGGATGTTCGTCTGAAGAAACCGGATGTTGTCTCACGTTAATCTTTCCGCTAACTTTCAAAGTCCTTCGCTTGCTCACGATCTGTACCGTTTAAATGCGTTTACCATGAATGTCAGCACTAAAATTACTGACTATAGGATGTTTGCTGGCTTTTATCTCACTGTTCTTGTCATCCTCTTGTTATGTATATGTATTGTCTCTTGTCTTTCAATTTCAAAAAAAATAAATTAAAAAAATGCAATTAAAATAATTGTCGGCGTTAATTAATGAATGCGTTAACGCGAAATTAACACGTTAACTTGCCCAGCACTAGTTTTTAATGTAACATACCAAACGTGTTCGTCTAAGGCAGATCGAGATAGAAAGGAACGCATACATTCATTAACATATTTCCATTAATCTTCCAGGCTTATTAAGACAGAATGCTCACCGAGGCACAGGAAGGGCTGAGCTGCTTCAGCATGTAGGGCAGGAAGATCTGGAGCAGAGCCTCACGGAAGAAACGCTTTCTCACTGTGCTGCTGTCATAGTCATATTTCTGAACCAAAGAAAAGAGAAAAATTACAAGAAAAGATACCACCACAGGAGCTCTTTGAGATTGAATTTTGAACTGCTTCTGTCCAAAACTCAATTTAAAAGTAGACATTTCCTCTACCACGATGATTGTTGACACCAGAGGAAGATACATGGCCAGAGGAAGAATGGAAATAAGTTCATTCACTCCACTGCATCTATCCCTTTGGAGTGGCCGGACCACTAGGTCGGGAACTACTACACTACACATCTAACTGGTTCACATATGCATTGATTCATTAGTATTAATCTACCAACTGGAGCTAAAACGGTAGATTAAGCAACTAGTCAATCACCAGAAAACGAATTGCCGACTATTTGATATCCTCCTCGTCGTTGAAAGTCTATTGTGTAGGATTTGGCGCCATCTAGAGGCGAGGTTGGAGATTGCAGGAAACTACAACTTCTACTGTGTGCCAAGCATGTTGGAGAACCACAGGGGTCAATGTGAACATCTAGAGCCAGTGTGTGGTTTGTCCATTCTGGGCTACTGTAGAAACATGGGAGCTAGCTCCACATGCAGATATAGGGTGCATCCCAAGTCTCTTAATTCTCATTTCCTCGTTCCTCTCTCCTCGCATGGTTTCCTCCATGCATCCCTGGTGGGAGGGACTAAGACGCAAGGAAAGGACGCAAGTGAGGGAAACGGGGATGCAATTAAGAGACTTGGGATGTACCCACACACGGCTCATTGTAAGGAACCGAAAACACATCAATTCATATCTTCAGGTGATTATTCTCTTAAAACACACTTTTTAAAATATATTCCATCTCTACCAATAGTTTCCCTTAAATGCTACACTGTTCCTTCACATTATTTAAAGCCAAGATGTCAAACATTTATTAATTTCAACTTCTTAATTGTGAAGATTGTCTGCTTTTTCATGTCTCGTGTGATATCAAACTGAACATCTCTGAATGTTTAGACTGTTGGACATTTGAAGCCTCAGGAAAGTGTGGTTGGTATTCTTCACTATTTCTGACATATATAGAAACAAACAACCAACCAACAAACCAACCAACCCCAGCCAGATGCATTTAGATAGGCATAAAGAAGTTGAATCAGTCAGATTCATCTCATGATCATTGAGTGATTCTTAGAGTATCTGTTGTCCACAGCTACTTTATAGTGTATGAAGAGTTTATCCTTCACTTCATGAGATCCCTGCAGCATGTCGATACATCTGCAGCTTCTGAATCCAACCAGAGCACAGAGGCACTGCTCTGTGTTACAGCCTCCTCTCCAGCTGCTTTGATCCAACTCAGCAGTTTGTGTTCTGTTCTTGAAATACATTGCAAAGCATTTGAAGATAAATACAGTAGGAATACAGTAGATGGCTCCAGGTGTATTTGGAGGGCTGGCAGCAGTATTTGTTTCTGTGTTATTATCGGTTTCAGATTCAATGACATCAGCTTTGATCAATGTCCTATTAAGTGTGTCTTTGTTCTAAAGTCTCTGGACGGAAAGACGACAACAGATCCCTGCTGCTCCAGGAGACATTCACCAGTGTCCCAGCACCAACTACTTACAGGTCAAATATGGGATCGACGTCAGCCCGGGGAATTACTGCTCGTGTGGGAAGGTGGTGAGGGCAAACACCAAATCAGCTGCTTGGGATGTCTGTGATCAGTCGGTTCATAATAAATGTGGAAACATCGGCTATGAGGAGTGACTCCGATATTCCCCTGGTGTGCTCGGGTTGGTTTGAGCCTTGTGGCTCCATTTCATTAGCTGGTGAGGACTTAACTGTACTCATATTAATGCCAGTAGCTTGTTGCCTCAAGTTGAGGAAATCAATCACCTTGCAATCATTTCCAATGCTGTCGTGGTCTCAGTGGCAATAGAGCTCACCGGTTACTCCGGTAACTATCGGTGTGATCGATATGTTTAACATTCCATCCATGAGCATCTCTCTCCGACACCGACTTTGGTCAAAATCATTTTTCGAGATGGTGGTAAAAAAAAATGGTCTGGAGCTGTGCGGTCAATTATAGTTCCCACAAAGATGTCCCAAACAGGCAGGCAGACTTAATAAACTAAAATCAGAAAAAAGAAAATAGGCCAAGAATATTGCATCAGTGCATCTCTAGTGTTTTACCTTAATGACGCGGTCCTGGCAGCGCTGGATGGTCTTACAGAGGTCTTCTGTACCCTGAGACTCCAGACACTGGTGAAGGATCTGCTCAAATGTATATACAGCATGGTCCATTTGCTGTAGAGAGAGGTAAAGGTAGCGAAAGAGGCCATGTTTTCGGTAACATTATAATTGGTGACATTTGTAACCACCGTGAATTCTCTGTTCTCTTAAGTTGCTGAACAATCCTTCAGAGAGGACTTACCTTCCTACAGTTCTGCTGAGCACAAGCTGAACCTTGTTCAGTCCTTCAGGAACTTTAAAAAAAAAAAAGGAGCTACAGTACAACTGTCCTTTGTTTATTAAAAGCAAAATGTCTGAAAGTAAATTAAATTACCTCTCACCACCGTAAATCAGCTTTAAGACTGAACACACGAACATACATGTTAAATCAGAACCGTGTATTGCCAAGGATGTTTGCACCTACAAGGAGTTTTTAGTATTTTGTAATTTCAAATATTGCGGAAGAGGACGAACCGATCAGTTTACCAAAGTCATCTCTGGTAAACGTTTATCAAAACTTTGTAAACTTACTCAAATCCAATACAGAAAAGAAGAAAAACACTAAAGTTGACCCAGTTCAATGGCCTGCAGCTCTGAAAAGTGAAGGCAGCGCTTAAGTGCCTTAAAGCTGCATTCTCTCTAGTGTCCACCAGGGGGCGACTCCTCTGGTTGTATAGAAGTCTATGAGAAAATGACTCTACTTCTCTCTTGATTTATTACCTCAGTAAACATTGTAAACATGAGTTTATGGTCTCAATCTCTAGTTTCAAGTCTTCTTTAATACAGCATGATGTTCATTTAGTACATTATGGTCCATTTAGAGTCACACAGACCATAAAGCAGGGGATGCTTTAGGGCGGGGCTACACTGACAGCTTTAATAAAACAGCGTTGTCCAGTCTGGACAATGTGTTTCTGTGTATCCTGCTCTCTGATATGGCATTGGTAGCATCCATGATTCTTGTTCAAGATAATTGAATTAGTGTGTGTGTGGATGATTAGATTATTTAGCAGCCTCTGCACATGTTCCTTCCATGCACCATGGAACAACTTACAAAAAAAATTAAAAACATTCATATCCACAAATTCAATGGTATAAATAATGTGATGATAGAAGCATGTGGTTGGTTTTTTGAGAGGCCCGTCTGATTGTGACTGCTGTCTGTGGTGCATTGTATTGAGTTGTGATTCTGTAGGGCTGCTACCTTGGACAGGTCTCATGTAAAGTAAATGATGCTGGTAAAATACAGCACAATAAAATATAATTAGCGTTTGGAAATGTAGACGAATGTTGACATGTCATGTAAAGTGTGTTGATAAGACATGACCCTCCAAACTCTTTAGATACCAATTATCACTCATAATGCCCCCCCATGCACACTGTTGGGGCAATCGTACAAACCTGAAGCTTGAGGACCGCCAAGCCTAGTTGCAGTTGGCAAGCTATGATTGGACAACCGCTCTTTGGGAGGCGGGTTTTGCGCGCAGTGTTTCTGTGCAGTGAGGGATGACTAGTGATACTTCAGGTGGCTTTAATGCCAAACAAACATTTAGATAATCTGGATGCATTCTTGGCTTGTTGACCATCTCACTGATCAGAGTTCTTGATGAGATTGCACTGTAGTGATGTCATGGTGTTCCCAAATTGCAGAAATGAACTCTGAGTACAGTGTTATATGATGGAAAACATTGACAACCCTACAGAAATAAGACCCAAGTTGTAAGGGAAGCTGTAACCATGGACCAACAAAGTGCCCAATTTAAACCCCATACTGTAAACTAGACTAGACCCAACTCTAACAGCAGATTGACAGGTAATTGGAGTATTAGAGTGTCACCTGTCTCATGAGGATCTGGGCCCTCTGGACGAAAACTGAGGGGCTGGAAACGTCAAACCTCTGCTGGAGACCCTCCAGACTCAGCGGCTCCACCTTCTCATAGCAGCTCTGCATCTTTACCGGATGGAAGGCCAGCATTGAGATCTTGTCCATGTGCTAAGGAAGGACATTTGTTCAAAAACTTTTATCCATGGTAATTGTACTTCCGTTTCACTGTTGGACTAATACATCGTTACACAGACTTCAAATTACTGTTGACGACGATACCAGTTCATGCATGTACTATTGTTACTCTTGTAAGGTCTGATCACCTGCATATCAATCATGTTGCCATCGCACACTAGGAGCTTATCCCTAAAGTCCTCCTCCACCTCCTCACCTGCGCCACAGTCTCCTTGGTGCCCTCATTGAGGGTGTTCTTGCTCATGTCCACCAGCTCTCCAAAGAACACATCGCGGACCTCAGAGAAACCTCGGCTGGTCGGCTCCATCAGGGCATCCAGGATGGAGCCGATGTAGGGCTGGATGCTCACCTTCAACAGCTTCTCAGCCTTGGGGAGCACCACCTCTGACGGGCAATGCGGAGCACAAAGAGAGGAGATGGAAGCCAACATGTAGGCATCATAGTTTCAGACAAACCTCTCCTGCATTGTTGTCACTTTGAAGATCATGGTAGTTAAAGTAAAACTATATCACTTTCAAAAGACAGCGCAAACAGTCATTTTCAAATGGAAAAGTTGAATTCATAAGCAATAAAGCACATTTACTAGTTGAAATTGCAGACTAGTAATTTGGTTCTGGACTGGACAACACATTTCAATTTCTTTGAGCACGTATGGGCCAGAATATTACAAAACAAATGCTACAGGTCAGATCATCTATCACATATTGTTATACAATTTGAAAATCACACTTTTATACTTTGATGAGTCTCCTTATTTTGCTACTGTTGTTTGTCTCTGGGACTCAGCTAAAATCTTTCTTCATACGTTGACAGTGTGAGGTTCCTGCTGGTCTGCCTGCTCTCTGCTGTCAGACAACAGGAAGCTGTCAGACTACTACTGAATACTTAAACTACATTTCTTTGCATTTGTTCAAGTGGCAGATGATACATTTATTTATTTTATAATTTTATTATTTGAATGATTTAAATGTATTCTTTCATCAATAGTTACCACCACAAATCAACTTTATTGGATAGGATGTTTACTCAATGCCAAATATTGAAGAATTTATACATCACTCAAATAGGGTAAATTTGGATTCATGTTGGAAGATTTTGTGTAGTTTGTACACATAAATAAAATTAAATGTCTGTGCCCTTCTGTGGGTTTTGTTCCAGGTTCTCAGCCTCCTCCCACAGATTACAGACACGCAGCTTAGGTTAGTTGAAGAACTTTAATTGTTTGTTTGCCCACTCCCTCGCTTACCTCTGATCTTGTTGGTGACGTACTCCTTGGAGGTTATGATCTGGTCCACGTCTGTTCGTATGGAGGCCTCTAGAGAACAGCAGGCTGCCTCACACTTTTGCAGAACGGCCTCATACTGGGCCTGGCATTGCCCCTGCACCAGGCTATACACCGCATCACTGATCTACGCACAGAAAACACACGATGGAGGGCAAAACCTCCTGTTCCTTTTAGCTGCTTAGTTTAAGTGAACCAAACTCACACCTCAGCAGCACTTGGTGATGAGTTGAGTTGGATAAACTCATCTTATGTCTCTGCAGGCAGCAAAGTGAGAAACAGGGATTTCTCTTTCTTATGAATTATGAAAAGGCTTAAAGAGTGGCTAGCACCATCACTGGAGAGGGTTAGGAGCAATGATTTGATTTAAAGGAATCTATTCATTTATACAACCGTACACTGCTTTTCTATTACAAATATGTAAAACTGAACTTTGATACGAGTGCAAGTATGCATGCATTTATGTCTTTATTATTACTCTTATTAATTACTGTCATGTGTCCTTAAAGCTAGGGTTGGTTATCGTGTGGAATTACCAGAGTATGCTAGATTTTAGAAATGATGCAACCTCAGAACCCAGCCCACTGCTGACAAGTCTTTTCTCAGTAAACGAGCTCCAAAGTCACTACATGTAGCGAGAAAGTTGCCCAGACAGCAGCACCAGATCGGATCATTAGACTTACTGACTGTGTCAGGATGGAATCAGAATGTCAACAAATGTTTTGGAATAAGATTACCAACTCCAGCTTTAATGCTGCTTTTAATACTTCCTCCCTGTGAAGACCAAGACTCTATAGGGAACTTTATTGAACAGGGTTTCTTATTTAATATCTTTTGGAAATATCATTAGTTAGATATCCAAGCTATAAAGCAGCAGCTGCTGAGGGTTTAAATGAAATACAGTTATTAGATTTGGTTCTGTGGAATGTGTGTGGAGCGCTTTCTTACCAGCATCCAGTTCCTCTGCCTCTCGTGCAGTTTGCCTTTGAGGCGAGGGGAGATGAGCTCCCTCAGCTCAGGGAGGAGGCCCTCCATCACCAGGTTAGACAGGATCTACAAGACACACAACTCATGGGACACGATCATGTCACTCAGCACACGCACACCTCGATAAAGTACTGAAATGAAAAACTCACGGTCACGTATCAGATTACTAATCTGATCAGCACAAAAGAAAAAAGGAGCAAACGTAACTTTTACAGATCCCCGATTACGTTTTTTTGCCGCCGATACCGATTGCAGATCATTGATGATCCATATTGGCAGACACAGATGCCTTTGTTGTTTGACTGCTCTGTACGTTTTGCCACCGTCATAGACATCATCTCCCTCTGAAGTCCGTGTAAACCATCAACAATTCTAAATGTTATCCTTTTACTTTGTTATAGTCATTTATAGTAGTTTTCATAAAGTCACACAATTCAAATGATGATTAGTAAACAAAAGATTGTATTTTCATTGATTAAAACAAATTGTCATTCGTAGTTTTAATGTTAAATATTATAAGCTGCTTACAGGTATTATAAACAGGTTATAGTTTCATCACTACATATTACATTAGAATTTACCATCACCCAGTACTTATTTTCACCCAACAGAGCCTGAATGCATCATAACCTAACCGACCGACCGAGAGAGACCGAGAGAGGGACCGAGATGGACAGATCTGTGACCACCCACCACCCCGGTCATGTGAACAAGCACCGCCAGTTTTTCAAAAAGAAATTGGAAAACGGTCATGCCCAGCAGAGTGACTTTGTAAAAGCTGCATCTGTCCCTGTGAAAGCACAGCCTGCTGTTCAATGTGGGGAATATACGTTGTTTGCCTTAAAATAAATTAAGTTCATTTTATTTACAAATGAATGTCAGAAAGCAATTTGCATGTAGTAATATGAATGTGATCTATGCAGAGAGAGCACTGAGTAACATCTGGTCTCTGATCATTATTCTACATGTCGGAGTTTTTATTTTCTTTCACACTAATTCAGTTTGAGAAACCTGTTAAACAGGGAAATGTAAGTTGTTGCTCTGTTCTCAACTTCAATTTTAACATTTGAAGTTAATTTTACTTGAAAATATATTCAAGAATGTAATGCAGTGAATATGTCTGAAAGCACTAATGAAAGCAATCTGAAGTCCATTTTTTGGAAATAGATTTTATTATTACTTCTCCAGCAATACTGAAGGCCAAGCAGTCGGCCTGTTCAGGAGAGGCACGTTTTGAACGAGCACCGTCGAACTCTGACAATAGAAGACCCATGTTTACATGAAGCATGTTAGGAGTCAGATTTATGCTCTACTCACTACAATAGCGGAATCAGACCAGTTGTAAGCCATTCAAACTTAAAGAGTAGACTAGACTCCCGCAGACGGAGGCCAGTGATCGACGTTAGCGGCATGCTTACCTGAGATGGTTGGCCGCACATCATCTCCCAGGTGCCAAAGTGCCCTTGAGCTTGGCGGTAGATTCGTACTGCATCAGTGAAGGCTGGTGTTTGAACTTTATTCTCCTCTGACAAACCTGGGATGGGAATATTAGTAGCTGTTAGCAGTTAGTATTTAAGTAACTATCAATATCCCAGTTTGCAGGAAACATCATTAAAACAATATGAAAAGCGGTGACTTCCATTGTTCATTCAGTTATTACCAGAAGCAGATGCTATGTTGACATGCTAGGAAGCACATGTGTAAATAATTAAATAAATGATGGCTGAGTTCCATTTAGCTGCTTCAGTTTAACGGTCCTGCTATTGTTCACAATGTCAGGACTTATTGGGGCTTTTCCTGCTACAGGAAATGTTTCAGCTGGTTAAAACATATTACATTCTAATCTTTAACTTTAATATAATTGTTACACAGACGGATACAAACATACCCACACACTTATGACAAGACGCACCTACAAGCGCGTGCGATTACTTACTAAACGTCCCACATGCGTGTATATACATCTCTGCCTCTGTGTGTGATTTGTACAATTCAGCCCTCCAGACACATGTGCACGAGCGATAGATAGATACACACACACACACACACGTATATGTGTGTGTATACAGACATATAGATACGTGTAACAATACACGTATTGAACCGTTCGGTACGAGGCTCCTGGTTCGGTACGCATTAAGAACCAAACAATACGTTTGAATAATACTAGTGCATTTGGAAAATGCAGACGCTTAAATTGTGTGAAATATAATGTTCTCTCGGTGGAGCCACTGCGCTCAACCTGGCAACCCACCCAACGTAACAGGCAACATGCTGTCTGACACGCCCACCACAGAAGAACAACATTCTACTCTGGTGAGGCACGTGTGTTGTGGGAGGCGTGCTATGCTAAACTAGCTTAGCAGGAAAACCAACAGCAGCACACACGCTACACTCTCCCCGCAGCGTTTAGCTGTTCACTACTGATTCAAACAGGCTACAGCAGTCACCTCACAATCCACATGTCTCCAGACCATCACTCCTGCTTTGTTAAAGAAAACAAAAGCCCAAACAGAGAATCACATGTCCGACCCTAACCCCTACAGGTTAGCATTTGTTTTGTGTAAAAATGAAGCTCAACACCTACAAATACAGTAACTGCAGAGAAGGCTTTGCTGGACATTCTTTTAACAGAAGATTCAATTTTGGACGCTCCCCAATTTTGGAAAATTAGGGAAAGCTTCAAAATGTGATATTTATCAATTAAATCTTAATCTCAGGGTTGCTACGGAGTTCAGGGACTTATTCATATACACTGTTGGGAAAAAATCTAAATGACTAATCATTATGCATTAATAATTAGTGAATGTTACACATTTAACAGAAGCTCATGTCCTCTGGAAGCGTTTAAAGCCGTGTCCTCAAATGGTTTCGTGTGAACTTTCACTGACACCAAGCGTCACAGCTGTTTAGTCTGTCAGACATCAGCGTCTCCTAAAAACAACACTTCAGCTGTTTGTCCTGAATAAGAATGATAAACTTGTAGAAGACGTCAATACTTACGCTGAGCTGATTTGCAGCCATGACTTCCTGATTAGATAGAGTGACCTTTGTACCAGAACAAATTGTTAAAGTGATGTTCCAGATACTCTAGTAGACGCCTGTGTGAAACGCAGTTCATGCGTTATCCTTTGTGACGTATGTGACCCTGTGCCAGCCCACTGCATGTGTTCACTCAGTATAAATATCAGAGACAGATCTCAGAGCAGCCTTGAGCTACATTCTGTATGTGATTCAACTGTTCCTTCTTGCAAGAATAAATGTCCTGAGATTAATGATGTTTACAGCGGCTCCAGTGAATTTGTTTTTATTTATTTAACCAGGTAAAATCAATTGAGAACCAATTCTCATTTTCAATGATGACCTGGCCAAGAGGCAGTAGCACAGTCCACACAAGTTACACAAACAACACAGATGCAATACAGTATAACAAACAATGGAAAAATGACTAAAAACAACCTAGATAAAATAATAAACACTATGTACAAAATAAAAGGCAGATTACTGGATGTTATTAGTAAAAAAAAAAAAAAAAAAAAAATGGAAGAAAGAAAGAGAAGTGAGGGCTGGTCAGCAAGTACAGCAGTCAACTATAACTTGTTGCAGCTTATGTTTGAACATGTTGAGAGGTGAGAGCTGTTAGTTTGAGTGTGTTTTGTAATGAGTTCCAGTCCTTTGCAGCGGCAAAATGAGAGTTATGACCAAATACAGTACAGACTTTTGGAATGATGAGCCTAATGAAGTCACTGGATCTTAAATGCCGATTGCTGTCAGAAATGCGCAGAAGATTTGAGAGGTAATGAGGAGTCATTCCCAAAATGGATTTATAGACCACAAGCAGCCAGTGTTGTAGCCACCTGGTATGAACATATCAGTCTGAGCCGGTGAGACGGTGGGCATTTGGCTGGGTGTTAGCGTCAAAGCTAGCTGCGCACCCAGCTGAAATATTCCAGCGTCTCTCTGTCAGACAGCAGCGGTGGAAGAGGCTTCCTGCTCTCGGACCAGCCAGCTGACTCTGGAAGCAGGTGGACTGCAAAGCCATCGTCAAGGGGGGGGGGAATGTCATCACCAGCAGGAAGTCAGCAGTGGACTTCTACAGGAAGTCAGAGGCGCCAGAGGTGTCACAACATTGTTCTCCAGCTCCTTCTCATTGCAGCGAAGCACCGCTCAGGCAACAACTCCATCACAGGAGGAAGCAGATCAGTGGCAAACAGGGAGATAAAGAGCGTGTGCTTATAAACTGTGGAGTCCGCACATGTTCGGGTTGGCACGTCCTGATTTGCTGGCTAAGTTTATGCAAATTTGTAGTGGCCAAATGCATGTTCGTATTGGATGAGAATAAGACTCAGAGTCCAGTAGAGGGGGGAGCCTGTGAGATCTACAACTTAAAGGTTTTTCACTTCTTTCATTTCTATCCTGTCAAAAGAACCCAGAGCTCTCATCAACATCAAGCAACTGCTTTTGAGCTAAATACAGAACCCTGAAGGCACCGATCCAGGATGAGGGCATTCTGGCTTTCACTGAGTCGCCCTTTCTTCTGTGTAGAATGTAGAGAGAGCAAACTGCCGGATATGATTGAGCCACATATTATTCTAGCGGGCACTTGTGGGAAGGATTTGAGCCGCTCCCTTTGGCTTGTAGTCCTGGGCAGCAACAGACTAAATCAAAGGACTCAAGTGAATATTTGTCCCATAAACCTGCCTAAGGACATCAAGGACAGGTTCTGTATTACCGTGCATTCTAAATGGGTCTGGGTGCTTAGTATATCATTCAACTGATTCGAAGCATTAGTTTAATTCACAAGATAAGAACATGAGCTAAAGTGTTACGAGAATGATGTTTAGTCATGTTTGTTCATCAGTGCAGTTAGAAGCATGCGTTTCTGCATTAACTTGTGTTGATCCTTAGTTGACAGGACTCACCGTCGTTGGCGTGTCTGACACAGTCCTGGAGGACAGCGTGCCACTTCTGCTGCTCCTTCTCCGTCACCACACAGAAGTAGTAGTGATGGGCGTAAGGGTGCCAGAGAATCAGAGGGAACTGGGTGGCACACTTAAGGAAAGGTGAACTTCCCTCCTTAGCTTCCATTCCTGGAAAAATGTACAAACAAACTGAGCAACTAGTTTGAACTTTCTGCACCATGCAGCACATAGCTCCTTTAATGAATGCAGAGTCTTTGCATACATTCAAGACGTTAATGTTGTCTTCAGCGATCAAGCACCAATCACACCCACAGAACACTTATTAATACGTGGCTGGTTGGAGTGTATCCACCCTGATAAGAATGAAGTAATTAATAATAAAAAATAAATTCAAACAAAAAAAATTAAAACCAAAAGTAATATTTACTAAAAAAGTTCTTGAAAGAATTATCAGCATGAAATGCTGCAGCTTCAGCATCTTCTCCTCACCAGGTAGGATGTTGCTGAACAGATCCAGGTATTGCTCCATAGACGTCAGCACTTTGTAGCCGGCACAGCTGATGCTTCCTTTAGGGTGGAGGCGCCTGTCATGGGACTAGTAGTTATGACAGGGAGCCACGTTGACGCGTTAGACAGTGAATCAAACTAGCATCATCCAAAACCAGCCATGCGTTTGTGCTACTCACCGCTTTGCTGTCGTAGTAGTTGATGTTGTAGGAATCTGGAATGAAGAGGAAGCGGTTCCTCCATTTCTTGTTCTCCAGATACTGAAAGAGTGAGCCAGAGAAGATGGATTTGTTCTCCAGAGGAATCTGTGAGAGACGACACACATCAAGTCAAAACTAATACGCTACAAAGGCAAGAATACAAATCCTGACCGTACGCTGCACAGACGGGAGAATGAAGAGATGTTTTTATTATTAGGGGAGCAGGGGAAGTCAGACTGTGTTTACAATAAATAAAACACCGCATCTCCAATGAATCCATTAGTGGCCGTTTCTTAAATCACCCGACATTGTTGTCCTTAAGAGAGCCAACAGCATTCCTCACTACACTCGTACCCCAGAACATTACCAGACTGCAGACCCAACCTTTGTGTCTGTGTGTCGATAGACTGCAAATAACAGACAACGCTATTTACAAGCGTGACAAACTAGAATGCGTTTGACCATTGACAAAAAACTAAATACAAAAAGATAACTAAAAAGGCTGAATTCAACACAGCAGGTTCTCCAGCTTCTGCAGAGCACCATCCACCATGAACCATTGATTCACCCGGGAGAGGAAGAAGCTCCTTTGGTACCACATTAAAAACATCCTGATGCAAGTAATAATGTTGGCCATTGACCGTCTGATCAAAGAATACATCAACAAGATTACAAATTTAAATTTGGACAGACATTCAATGCTTATTCTGACTGTTTCACTTTGATTGAGAGAAGGACTGAGGTCTGTGGAGCTCAGACAGAGACTTTGATATCGAAAAGAATAACCTGAAACAAGAAACTCTGGAAAAAGTTATATTAGCACTGTAACAAGAATTGAACTGAAAAATAAGACATTAAAATGTATTTTAAATTTTTCACATTCCGATGCATTTTCGATCATTTTTACATGACTGGCCTTCACCAGATCACTTGGTCGTTGCGCTAGCGTGAACTTATTTCAGCTATCCTAGCCAACATGAGGAACAAGACAACGGCAGAGAGAACAGACTGAACGTACAATGATTTTCACAAGTTCACCTGGAACTCCTAAACAGCAAGTGATAGATGTGCAGTTGAAGATTAAAAACAAGAACTCAAAACCTTTAGTTAAAAGGATCAGATCCAAAATCAAAATCATGATAATTCAAAATTAGGAGTCAAGTCAAAATACTGCCTCTTAAAACTTACTGTGGCATAATTTAGACTTAAAAAGTGGACTTGTATCACAGTTTAGAGTTAATGTAAATATTTTCATTTTTGTCATTAACGTTTAATCTACTTTTTTATTTCCTCCCAGCAGCACTGGGCTTCATCACTGTTGTGTTCAGCTGTGTATTTAAAACTGGTCCAGAGGTTCTACTACAGAGTTGATGCAGTGGGTGGAATCTGTGCCAAGAGTCTCGGAGGAGGATACGTTACCTTGCGGTGCATTAGCTGGGGTTGTGGGCCACCTCCTCCTTCTATGTCAAAGCGAACTTTATTGAAAAGAGCCACTGCATACTGCTGCTCATACAGACGTCCAAACCTCCCCATCACCTCCCTGGTCCGAGCTAAAACACAAACAAACGCATACACCGTCAGGACGGAAGTGCCACTGAAGAGCTGCTCTATGTTACGGTCTGAAGCATCTTTCATATTTACACAATGAACGTGAATTGACATTTTGTTTCAGACGGTCAACATTCTTCAACAAACAAATGCAGTGACTCAAGAAGCCACACACACACACACACACACCTATCAACCAATGAGAGAACACTAATTTGTTTGGGAATACAGAAATTTTATTTTTTGAATAGCCATCTACACACAGTCATCACTTTGATTCTTCCAAGAAGGATTTTATCCCTTTTTGACATTCTAAAGAAAGAGATGGAGGCTATTCCAGATATAAATCCACTGATAACATGTGTGCTTAAGATGCATCACTGTGGGGATGAAATGAATTTCTTAGCTAAGATGGTTCAAATCATACAAGCCAACCATCAAGACATACAAATGAATGTCAATGTAAAACATGACATGCATGATATACCCAGCTGATGGGAACAAACGTGCAAAAACATTAAGGAAACAACTAAGAAACTATTGAAAAGAATACACATGGAACAATGTGATTCCATATTTTAGGACATGCAAAATTTTAAGTAAGTACAAATAAAATGTAACTTCAAGATGCTGGAGAGACTGCAGTGAGCAGATGACAACCACAGTCATATTTTGGTCACGTGAAGGGGCTTCTGGGAAAATTCTATCAGAACTATCACATATTTGGGGTATTTCTCTAAATACAAACCCACTACTTCAGAAACAAGAGGAATTATTCTCACTTATTACTATTCATGAAGGTAGAAATAATTACAAACATTACGAAGAACTGGTTAGAAGATGAGGGAATTAAAGGATTTTGTAAATTATAATATATGGAATGAAAAACAAACTACTACATTCAAACAGATAGGAAAACAAGACATGCTCTGTAACTATATCATTTCTAAAAATGCAACAAAAAAAAGTTAGTGTTAATGTTGTCTAAACAGGAGAAGCTGCACATTATGTGTAACAGTCTAAAATTGGAAATGATTGACAAGTACACCAAATTATGAATCTGAGCACACACTTAATGCTAGCTTTTTGCATTTGAAAAATACGTGCGTCTGTAGCACTATACGCTTCTGTGTTTCAAGATGCGTCAGTGTTGCATTTCAAATCAGTACCAAAACCGTATTCACGTTCGATACCAAGACCTACTCCTGAGTATGGTATCAATTGTGAACAGCAAATTCCATCCCAACAGCAATCTGTTGTACTGTACCTCAAACATTAGTTCCCATTCAATTAACCCAACGTTTTGGTTGGGAGACTCTGGGGAACCTCCTCATACAAAGGTTTGTATTATATCTTACTTAAAGTTTTTCATTTCTTTTGCATATTCCTGGACAAGCCAGCAACACGTTTCAATTTCCACTCATTACATGCATACAATCTTTTTCTGTCTTCACAGGAAACTACTCCGTTAGGGTCGAGGGCAACAAAGCTACTCCATTAGGTTTAGGCTCCAACACCACTTAGCAGGTCTCCTGGCTGAAAGATCTGTTTGTTGTAATTCAAGGTGATGGCAATGAGATGAACCTACAGTATTACATTGTTAAAATACCCAAGGTCCATTGCTTCCATGTTTAGGAGCATTCAGAATATCATTAAAAGACATTTCAGAAAGCTGAAATTTAAAGTGGTATTTGGGCCAGCAACTCTATTCTCTGGGGTCACATTCCACAGAATGTTTTTTTTCCATCAAGTCAGATTTAGAGGTTAAAGCATAGAGAGCTGCTGCTACGAGTCTGGCTGACTCTGTTGTGCTGCAGCCAGCTACCAGACTAATTGTCCAGGGGGCCTCTACCAGTGCTTAGGCCAGATATTACTACTGCGTTTGTCGTCCATCAATGTGGTAATCGTATTTAAGCAAACGTACCATACATGGCAGCTCATCTTATCACTGACAACAGTTTCAGCATGTCTTGGTCATAGAGAAATGAGCAGAGACCAGACTTCTGTTTAATAGACCCACAAGAGAACCCCCCCCTCTCCTTTCTCCACAGTGCCTTAACAACAACATTCCACTTAGATAGACCCATAGGCTGACTCATAAATCTAGACTGTTCACTTCAGAGCTGAAGCAAGAGTGGCGACTGTAAGGATCTAGAGCACCAAATGAATGCAAATTTAGCTGGATTCAAACATGTTTACTGTGGGAATTAGAGGCAGGCATCATTTCACTTTTTCAGAGTGAACATTAGACAACAGGGAAACTTCAATGCGCCGCTCCAGGATGCTTTCTGGCTCACAAAAGGTGGACCACCACATCAGTATGTGATCCTAACCGGCCCCGAGGACATAAAGTAGCCCACATACAATATACTGAAAGTAATTAAACAGAGGTCATATGAACATCAGAAAAGTAAGGAGTTCATAATTACATACTCGGGCCCCTTTCTACTAAATCACAGGAAACATAGATGTCAAACACTGGCTAATAGAAATTAACTTTGTGGATGTATCATCAAAATGTTATGAAGTGTTGTGAGCTTAAAGCCACTCTAATAAATGCTATTATATTGACAACGGATGTAGTAGTACAAACTATGACAAGATTAATTGCCCAGAGTGTCAGGCTAAGTTTAAAAATACACAATGAATTGGGAAAAAGACAGACGGAAACATCATTGTGTCCATGGGGAAATTTGACTCGGAACCTACATAGCTATACCCGTTAACACATATGTGCACACAACACAAGCAAACTACAATATGCGTACTACAAATATAAAACATGCACACCTCCTTGGTTTACGCTACGGAATAAAAATCCAACAGGAAGTTCAAAGGAGTTCTTAAACCGATTCAATTTGCACCGCTGAGCTTCATATCGTCTGCCTGATGGTAGCAGCTCATACGGAGTACAGAGCATATGGGATGGATGACAGAGGATGCTTTACCCGTTTAAGTACACACTGGCCAAAGAGAGACTGAAGATGATCTTTTTGTTTGTGTGCACCAATCAACAAACTCCCTTCTCAATGATAGAGGTTTGTATCATCGGGCTTTAGATCCGAGAGTTCCTGGACGTCCACTCATAGCATACAGTGTAAAAAGGACCGGTGAGCTCACACAGCCTTGTGGAGCTCCAGTACTGATAGCTTTTAGCGGAGACAGCCTATTGTTGGCCCCAACCTTCCGAGTTCTGAAAAAAATGAGTGATACCACTTGGTAGCTGTAGAGTTGACATCCATCCACAGGGCAGATAGGCCTAATCCCAATCTCCACACTCACAGAATTTGAGAGTGCGTGAGGGTTTAGTTCTGTCCCACTGTCAAATCAGAGTGTTTGAGGACTCTCTCGCAGGCATTTTGAGCCCTTTATGAACACTTTCCATAAGTTCACAATTCTGAAGACTTTGCCCGAGGGAATTACCCACAATTCATAGCAATGTGACATTAAAACACCGAGTTACCAGTGGAAGCATGGAGACGTAAGGGAAAAAAAAAAAAAAAAAAAAAGTAAACAAAGAGGACGGCACATCGCTGTTCAATTTGGTATATTACATTTACTCAGAAAAATTAGGGATTAAAAATGGAACATAAAAACACTTGAAATCAAAGGAATGGAAGCAGAGATTATCCATCCATTGTCTTCCGCTTATCCAGGATTGGGCCGCGGTGGCAGCTGGCCAAGCAGGCTGACCCAGACTTCCCTCGACCATGCAACATTTTCCAGGTCATTCTGGGGGATCCCGAGGCGTTCCCAGGCCAGCTGGGAGATGAAATCCCCCCAGCGTGTTCTGGGTCTTCCCCGGGGTCTCCTCCCAGTTGGACGTGGCCGGAAAACCTCCAGTGGGAGGCGCCCTGATTAGATGCCCGAACCACCTCAGCTGACTTCTTTCGACGCAAAGGAGTATCGCCTCAACTCCAAGCTCCCTCCTGATGACCGAGCTCCTTACCCAGTCTCTAAGGCTGAGCCCGGCCACCCTACGGAGGAAACTCATTTCGGCCGCTTGTAGCCGTGACCTCGTTCACGACCCAGAGTTCGTGACCATAGGTGAAGGTCAGGTGCTAACTCTCATCCCCGCCGCTTCACACTCTGCTGCAAACCACCCTAGTGAATGCTGGAGGTCACGATCCGAGGAGGCCAACAGGACCACATCATCTGCAAACAACAGAGAGGCGATCCCGAGACCCCCGAACCTGATGTTCTCCAACCCCCGGCTGCGCCTAGATATCCTGTCCGTGAAAGTCACGAACAGGACCGGTGACAAACACCCACCAGGGACGTGTCTGACTTATTGCCGAGAATACGGACGGACACAGCTCCTACTGCAGTCGTACAGAGACCGGATGGCCCATTGCAACGGGTCCGGCACCCTATACTCCCGTAGCACCCCCCACAAGAACCCCTGAGGGACCCGGGCGAAAGCCTTCTCCAAGTCACATGTAGACTAATTGGGCAAACTCCCAGGACCCCTCCAGTAGTCTTCCGAGGGTAAAGAGCTGGTCCACTCAAGCACACTCTCCAGTCCCCCTTTTTGAAAATGGGAACCACCACCCCGGCCTGCCAGTCCATGGGCACTGATCCCCGACCCCGATGCGACATTGAAGAGGCGTGTCAGCCCAACAGTGTCCAGCACCTTCAGCATCTCAGGGCGGATCTTATCCACCCCCGGCGCCTTGCCACCAAGGAGCTCTTTGACTACCATAGCGGCCTCCGCCAGGGATATGGGTGCCAGGTGGTTATCAGTTGACAGCTCTGCTCCTCTCTTCACCCGAGTGTTCAAGACATACGGCCGCAGATGATACGATTACAAAGTTGATCATTGATCTTGACCCTAAGCTGTTCTGGTACACTTATGAGCCACCTTATGTTCGAACATGGTGTTCGTTATGGCCAAACCGTGGCTAGCACAGAAGTCCAATAGTGAGACACCACTCGGGTTTAGATCGGGCAAGCCGTTCTTCCCAATTATCCCCCGCCAGGTTTCTCCTTCGTTGCCCACGTG